AAGTTCCATTTCTACTCTTTCTGTGGCCCAGTGACAGTGCTCTCACCTAATAAGAGTGAGGCCTGGGTTCCATCCTCAGCACTGCAAAAGCTAAAGAGGAAGGCATGCTTATTTAAGCAATATATGGTTCTGCCTGATGGACATACATCACTCATGGAAAAGCAAGTGAAATTCCAAACCCCTAATGTCAGACAGAAGGGTTGTGGTTTCCTTGGAACACTATCAATACAACAGGATATAGGTGTCAAGGACCACGCTGAGTGAAAAAGCCAACCTCCAAAGGTCACATGCTGTACAATTCCATTTATGTGACATCCTTGAGATCACAAAATTACAGAGCTGGTGAGCAGATTAGCGGTTGCCATGGTGGGAGGCGGTAGGTGTGGTTATGAGAGCTGATGCCACGGAGCTTCATGGTAACAGAGCAGAGCAGTCTCTCACAGAGGTGGAAGTCACACGAAGATACTCAAACTAAAACCACACAGCACCACACACACACACACATGCTCAGATACACGTTAAGTACAGGTAAAACTACTGACATCTAGGGGCTGAAATACTCAAGGCCTCAATTCAAAATCCAGCACCAAAATAAATAAATAAATAAATAAACAAAGAAAGAAAGTAATGAAATCTATATAGCCCAGTGGTTTGTACTGTTTTCCAGTGTTGAAAATATCCTAGTTACAAAAGATGTCCATATCAGGAAAGGTGGGGTAAAGGATGCCAAGGACTTTCCTGTCAATTTCTTCACAACTTCTGTATTGACTGGTTTTGTGTGTCAACTTGACACAAGCTAAGCTAAAGTCATCAAAGAGGAAGGAGCCACAGTTGAGGAAATGTCTGAGACCCAGCTGTGAGGCATTTTCTCATTTAGTGATCAATGGGGGAGGATCCAGCCCATGCTCAGTGGTGCCATCCCTGACACTGCTGGTCCTGAGATCTATAAGAAGGTGGGCTGAACAAGTCATAGGAAGCAAACCACTAAGCAGCTCCCCTACATGGCCTCTGCATCAGCTCTACATCAACTCCTGCCCTATTTGAGCTCCTGTCCTGACTTCCTTCAGTGATGAACAGCAATGCTGAATGAAGTGTAAGCCCAATAAACCCTTTCCTCCCCAACTTATTTTTTAGTCATGGTGTTTCATCACAGCAATAGAAACCCTACCTAAGACAACTTCCTATGAATCTATAAATATTTCAAAATAAGAAATTATAGCTGGGCAGTGGTGTCACATGCCTTTAATCCCAGCACTTGGGACACAGCAGGCAGATCTCTGTGAGTTCGAGGCCAGCATGGTTCACAGAGCTAGTTCCAGGAAGGTCAGGACTACACAAAGAAACTCTGTCCTGAAAAACCAAAAGATTAAAAAGAGAAAGAAAAAGAAATTATTTTAAAACTTGGACTTTAAAAAAAAAAAAGACACTAGAATTTTACTTTTTTAACATCTGGTGGGGCAAATGTGCCAGAGCAAACACGCCGCGGTGTGTATGGAGATGCTAAAGACCACTGTTGGGAGTCAGTTCTCTCCTTCTACCACAGGGGACCAGGGATGGAGCTATAGTCATGGGCTTGGCAGCCAGTGCCCTTACCAGTTGAGCTATCTTACCAGCTCAAATTTTTTTTCTTCATGACAGCTTACAAGAGAAACAGCAATGGCTCAGCAGTTAAGAACACTGGGTATGCCAGGCATGGTGACACAGGCATTTAATCCCAGCACTCGGGAGGCAGAGGCATCTCTGTGAGTTTGAGCCTGGTCTACAGAGCGAGTTCCAGAAAAGTCAAGACTACAGAGAACTACAGAGAATCCCTGTCTCGGGGAAAGAGAGAGAGAAAGGGAGGGAAAAAAAGAAAAGAATACTGGCTGTTCTTGCAAAGAATACTGGTTCAATTCCTAACCCTCACATGGCTGCTAACAACTGCCTATAACTCCAGTTCCAAAGGGTCTGATATCCTCTTCTGACCTCCACAGGCAACAGGCACCCATGTGGCACTCATACATACAGTCAGACATGCAGGCAAAACATTCATTTTATATATGTATATAAAATGTATATATGCATATATACAGATATATATAATACTGGATGCATATATATATTGTATGTATACGTTGTTAAAGAAGCAAAAATCAAGCTGAGGTGGCCCAGCAGTCAAGAATACGTGCTGCTCTTGCAAAGGACACAGGTTCAGTTCCCAGCACCCGCCAACCACATGGATAGATCACAACCACCTGTAACTCCTGTTCCAGGGAATCCAACAGCTGGTCTCTTCTGGAACCTGCAGGCACGTGATACACATATAAACAAGCAGGCACACACATATACATAAATAAAAATAAATAAAGGCAAGAGAAACAGAAGCAATTTATAGGACTCTGACACCCTGAAATAACATTACTGAATTCATAGCCCTGGCTGAAGTAGATCAGGAAAGGGCAAGTAAGTTAGTCTTAAGAGACAGAATTTGTCTGTTACCTGAGCTGCAAAGCTACAGGTTTAAGTGACATGGGAGCGGGATGGTGGCTGCCTATGCTAAGAGGGTAAACTAGTAACCCAAGTGCAAACAGATGCAGAACCTTCCCGCTCACATCCCTTTGTCCCCCTTGATCCTTCCCTTTCTCTCAAGGTTCAACACAGGCCTTCAAAGAGAGCAGCATCAGGTTAAAAAGCTGCTGAAACAGATTCCGACGATACTGCGGCCTACAAGTAACTCTTGAGAACCAAGGCTCACTGGCAGGTGGCTTCCAGTTATGGGGCTGGATGCAGAGCCAGGATCCTGCATTGTACCTTGGGGGCTGACCTGGGGAGCGCCTCTCCACAGAGCCACCACTCACTCTCACCATGAGTAAACAACTGTGGCCCCTCCTCATGGCCTAGGGATCAAGTTCGCACCAACTCTGGTCCCTGCTCCCTCCTGAGAGCTTCTGTGTCTTACTTGTAGCTGACTCACTGACAGAGGACATATTGTGTGCCAGACACTGAGGGGCACGGAAGGGGTGAAGTAAAGAGCGAGGACAGAGGGCCCTTACTTTGGTGCTTCCTGTACAGCAGGACACAGACTCCACTGGAAAAGACATCACAACAGGGGACACAGCTCCTTACGGAGGGCCACAGTGTCTATGAGGCCAGACAGTAGGAAAGCCAGACAGAGACCTGGATCCCAGATAGGCCCAGGTACCCCCTCTTTCAATGGTTCCTCTGGGAATGATCTTGTATGCTTCCTACATCTTTGAGGAACAATTTACCACCACTACAACTGAGGCACCTGGTGCTACCAAACATACTCCAAGACACAGAATGCCCCCCCCCAACAAATGCCAATCATTCCCAAAGATCAGCTGCTCCAACACAGGGAAAGCTTGCTCTACAGACAGGCAATAAGTCATTTACCAAGTTCTCACTAGGTGCCACCTCTGATCAAACACTTGGGTGAGAAACTGGCTTTCACTTTCAATGTCCTGATCAGCTGAACTCTCCTCAGAGAATACAATGACAGGATGGAGGAGATGGCAGGGGCGGCGGGCCAGGCTGCCATGCCATACCTGAAGATTCACATGAAGGAAGAAGAGAAGGGATTTCTCAGAGAGATGTCCTCTGACCACCACCTCAGAGGCACCATGGCTTGTAGATGAATACACCTACACACACACACACACACGCACCTATAAATGTAGTTTTTTAACAAAAATTTTAGAAAAAAAATGCATCATGACTATAAATGCTATGGTCTACAATTTTGGTAAGCCCTAGTCCAAGGATGCTTGTTTCTTTGCAGAGGACAGCAATCTACTCTTCCAGAATCCTGCAGACCCAGGCAAGCTGGGGTCCTGCACCCAGTCTTAGGGAATACAGTCTTAAAGTGTTAGTCTGATGACAGCACCGGACAAAGTTCCTCGGGACACACGTTAATCTCTAAAGTAACAAAAGTCATGGAGTCAGCTATTTGCTGGATGGGGGGAGGGGCGGGGGGGAGATTTAATAACCAACTGACAGGAAAATAGCTTTTCTTCTCTTCAGTAAGGGGCTGTCTGATCACCCTCCGAAGTTTCTGTCAGCCAAAGTCCTGGGCACCCACCCTACCTGACCTTTAACCTTCCGACCCATTTCACTTTGGGCGGATTTTTTTTTTCTACCCAGGGGACACTGTCTACAGAACTGCTCTCAGCAGAGAAGCAAGAGCAGCTTCCAGCATCCACACCCGGCTGCTGCCGGTTCCCTGGGGGAATGAGTCACTTTAATCGCAGTGGGTGAGATCTAATCATCGCCCAACACTCCGCCTGAATCAGGTCCGAGACGTACGGTGTCCTGATCCCCGCCCAAAGAGAAAATCCACGCTGTTTTGGAAAAGGCTGGGTTAAAAGCTCCATTACTAGAAAGACCAAGATGACATCATGCTGGGGAGGGGCGTCTTGGGCCGGAAGCCCCTCGACGGTGCCACAAACCCCACAGACAACCCACCCCGCCCCACGTTCCCATTGCTACCCCTAGCTCTCAAGACACCTAAACCCCGCATCTCAGTCTGAACACCCACAGGCAATCCCCAGCCGTCCAAACCGATACACGCACCCACTCCACCCGGGGTCCGCACCCCCTCTGATCTCTGCCTCGCACCTCTGCTTCCTACCCCCACCCCACTGCCAGATTAGCACGTCCAGGACCCAGCCCCGCACGGTGGCCTGAATCTCCACTCCACACCCCCACTGTCTGTCCAACACCAGGGAAACAACCACCCCCGCCCTAGCCTGGGTCTCCGCAGCAGACAACCAACTCCCGCCAGATGTGCACCCAGGACGCGCGCTCTGTACCCTAAGTGCCCGCGCGGGACCCCCGCCCCACCGCGCGATCTTCACCCCGCAGCCCTCATTCCCAGGCCTCCGCCGACCCGCGCGCCCGCTCACATAGCCCTCCCCATCGGGGCCGCACCCCCAGGCCCCCGGCCGCACCTGCGGACCCCCAGCCGCGCCCCCACTCAGGCCCTCCCGGTGCCTAGCACTCACAGTTGCGGATGTCGGAGATGAAGACCGCTAGGCCCCGCATCCCGTCCCCCTTGGATACGGCCGGCATCTTCGCGCCCCGGGAGCGGCCTCGGCGGCGGGCTGGAACAGCGCGGGCGCGGCCGTCACGCCGAGGAGCCCTGGAGCGCGGAGCCGCCTAGCCACAGCCACTCGGGCCCCCGAGCGCCGCTCGCTGGGCCGCGCGCGCGAGCACGCACGACGCACGCGCCGACGCGCACGCTGAGCCCTCGCGCCCGGCGATGGGCGGTGCGAGAGGGCGTGCGCATTCTCGCAGTGCAGGGCTCGGGGGCGGGAGGGGGGGAGGCGTGGCGCTGGATGGGGCCGGACCGCGGCCCGGAGAAGCCGAGCTGTGCTGTGCGGAGCGCGCAGGCGCCGCGCCTCCTATTTTCACCGCCTGGCAAAGAATCCTTCTAAAGTAAACCTGACTAGCCCCCGGATCTTGCTGTCATGAGTGGGCCCGGCTTCACGTAGATAAGGACACCGACACCAGAGCCTACTAGCCCTGTGTCACGCAGAAGACGGGGGAGGGGAGGAAGTGGGGTGCGGTGCTGCTACACTAGCACCTGCAGCGGTCAACCTTCGTCTGTCAAACCCGCCTCAGCATAGCTCTCTTGTGGTGGGACTGGCCTCTTTCCCCTACCACCCGTGTGGAGCCAGAGCCGGAGGCGTTTGCGAGCCTCTAAACTGGGACGAAAGGAAGCGCTGCTCCAGGACACTTCCTTTACAAAAGGGGAAACGGAGGCTTGAAGATACACTGACCACCCTTGCCGAGGTGACTGTTGTATGGAGTACAACCTCTCAGCACCCATTCAGGCCCCTTTGCTTCTTACTTCTGCTCCCCTGTTCCACTCTCTAGCCAAGTGGACCCAATGAATCCTTCCTGTGATCCCATTTTGCAGAGGACCTGGCTGGGCCCAACACTTCAGGAAATGGAAAGTATGATGGCTCTTCCCCAGCTCTCTTATGTGAAACCAGGTGGTTTTGAAGAGGAAACTCCCTACCTCAGGTGGTTATCCTGGCCCAAATCCACCAGGCAGACTTTTGTCCCTTCCCAACCTTTTTTGCAGAGTCCACGTGGAGTCTAGCCTGGAGATGGAAGAGACAGGAGGGCCCTCCCAGGAATCAGGCACCCCACTAAGGCCCTGTAACTGAGATTATAAAAAGCCAACTCTCTGGCAAGGCTGCTGAGTTTGCCTAAATTTGTTTTTGTTTTGTTTTGATTTTTTTTGGTTTTGTTTTTGTTTTTTTGTTTGTTTTTGTTTTTTTGTTTCCGAGATAGGGTTTCTCTGTAGCGTTTGGAGCCTGTCCTGGAACTAGCTCTTATAGACCAGGCTAGCCTCGAACTCACAGAGATCTACCTTCCTCTGCCTCCTGAGCGCTGAGGTTAAAGGCGTGGACCACCACCTCCCGGCTGCCTGACTAAATTTTCTAAGGCAAAGAGCCAGCACCAGAGAATAAACTTCCCACAGTCATCTCCTGGCAGAGGTATTGACTCTTTAGCTTGTCCTCCCCATCAAAAGGATGCTTCTGGACCATATGAGGAGTGCTAGGCAGGGAGCAATATGAACCCCCACTGCCTATGCCCAGAGAGGAATACAGATGCAGGAGGGGCTCAGACTCCTCCATTGCACTGACTCTGAGATTCACCACAACTGTCTGTGATGGTTAATAGTTAAATAAAATTTTATCATAATTTATTCATTGAAGGGTATGCAATGTGGAGACCAGAAGACCCCTCATGAGAGTCGGTTCTCTCTTTCCATCTTGTGAGTCCAAGGAAGCACCCTTACCTGTTGAGCCATCTCGAAAGATGGTTGATCTTGATTGTCAGTTTGAGGGATTTATAATCATCATGAGAACAAACATCTGGGCAAGCCTGTGAGGAAGTTTCTAGGTTAGTTAAATTGAGATGGGAAGGCCCACCATAAATATAGGCAGCGCGGGTCCTGTGCTGATTGAAAAGAACGAATGGTGTAGGAGGGTCTTCTGTCTTTGTGTTGCTTTCATTGGGTAACAAAGAAACTACTTTGGGTCCTTGATAGGGCAAAACTTAGGTAGGCAAAAAAAGACAAAAATCAATTTTAAAAAAATAAAAATAGGGCTGGAGAGATGGCTCAGTGGTTAAAAGCATTGCCTGCTCTTCCAAAGGTCCTGAGTTCAATTCCCGGCAACCACATATTGGCTCACAACCATCTGTAATGAGGTCTGGTGCCCTCTTCTGGCCTGCAGGCATACACACAGGCAGAATATTGTATACATAATAAATAAATAAATAAATATTTAAAAAAATAAAAATAAATAAAAAACCTCCATAGTGCCGCCAGAGTCAGACATGCTAAATCTTTCCCGGTAAGCCATCTCTCCAGCCCAAGGCCTCCTTTTCTTAACTTGCTTTTGTCAGGTGTTTGTCACAGCAAAAAATAAGTAGACAACATAGGGTCACACGGTGTGCTACATCAGGCCTGACCAGGGGCTGTAGAAAAGACTCCTCCACCTGCCAGCACCTTTTCCCTCCCAGAGACACAAGTACCGGCATCACATTCACCACTCAAGCCTGGAACCTGAGTACGTGGTCCTTCAAGGCCTTTCCTCATTGGAAGAGAGGCTGCTGATGTGCCATCCTGAGGAATGAGAGCCCCACCTTTCACCATAACCACTAGGCAGTAAGGGCTCTGCAGGCTCCAGCTGGGGTTGTTCAGAGAGACTAGCAAAGCATCCCAAACGACAGCTTCTGCAGCACCGCCTGACCTTGTCTCGGTTCCTGTGCTCACCTGGGTCTGCTCACAGCTCCTGTCGGTTTTATAAATGGCCCAGTTTTCCTGTAATTTCTTCAGTAGGTTACAGATAATGAACCTTGTGGAGTGCTGGGGGGAGGCGGGGCGGTTCTCTTTCTAGCACAGGTGTGCCTAGATCCTGAGCTTATTGAAGTATAGAGATGTAGAAGTCCTCAGACCCCGTGGCTCTCTCTGTGATTAGATGACCTGAGGTCATCAGAAGTGACAAAAAGCCAGGGAAGGCCAGGTCCTGAAAGCAGAGTAACCCATGCCCAAAAACAACGTATACATATGGAAAGGTTCAAAAATTCTAAAGTGGTTGTGGGTGTGGCTCAGTGGCAGAACATTTTTCTTGAATGTATGAGACCATGCCTGAGGTCCCCAGGACCATAGAAAAAAATAAGACAAATGTCATTGAGCATGGTAGTCCATAGTTTGTAATCCCAGCTGATTCAAATGCTAAGGAAAGAGAATTGGAGGTATAAGATCAAATAGGCAAGTTAATGAGACGCTGTCTCGAAATTAATTTTCGTTTAGACAGGGTCTCATGTGGCTCAGGCGAGCCTCAAGCTTGTTCTGTAGCTGATACTGGTCTTCAAATAATCTTTTACAAAGCTAGTGTTGTAGCTTAGTGGTCAAAGGCTAACCTAGTATAGAGATCAGGCTGTACTTGCTCTAAGTTACTACATTTTATGTGAAACCACGGCTTTCAGGCTGTGCCTTGTCTTGGGTGACTCCATTTTACAAGCAGCGTTCGACTCTATTCTGAGTGCAGAAGTAGAGGCAGGGCAACTCTGTATCTCATTCAAGCACATAGGCTCCACCACCTTTCCAGCACCACCCATGAGGCACAGACTGATAATTGACATTACTAAGAAATTGCAAAGTTACCACCTACAAGCTTATCAAAGTATATTGGAACACAAGGACACATGGGCGCATTAAAATGGTCTCAGAAAAGCCAGGCCTTTCTGGGTAGTGGTGGTGCACACCTTTACTCTCAGCCCTTCCAAGGCAGAGGCAGGCAGATCTTTGAGTTCAAGGCCAGCCTGGTCCAGGGCTACACAGAGAAACCCTGTCTCTAAAAAGAAAAAAGAAAAAAAGAAATTGAATGTCTTGAATACACCAGACACTTAAAAAGAGAGAAAACTAACTCTCCCATGGCAGCAGTGGTGGCAGAGATAGTCCCATAAACTGACATCTGACCATCACATGGCCATCACATGACCATCACATGGCCATCACATGCAGTATGTGCCTTGAGGGATGTATAGATATTTATGTTCCCTGGGGCAGGATGTTTGACTACTTGTCACTGTCCACTCAAATTTCAGTCTGTCCACTTTTCCGTCTGGACGCAGTCCTGCCATGGCCCTGCTCCTGCACGTCTCCAACAACTCTCCCTTGTCGTTAGTTAATTAATATCTTATCTAACCACATGCATATAAGCTCTCTGCCTCTGTCCTCAGTGAAACCTCTCTGAATTCACCTCTGTCTTTGTTAGTGTTACTATTGCTGTGATGAAACACCATGACCAAAAACAGCAATTTAAGGAAGAAAAGGTTTGTTTGGTTTACACTTCTGAAGTCACAATCCATTAAGGGAAGCCAAGGCAGGAAACTTAAACCCAGCTTGCTCATCATAGCTTGTTCAGGACTATCTATCTATCTATCTATCTATCTATCTATCTATCTATCTATCTACCTACCTACCTTCCTTCCTTCCTTCCTATCTCTCTCCCTCCCTCCCTCCCTCCCTTACCCCCCTCCCCTTCAGTTTTTCAAGACAGGGTTTCTCTGTGCAGCCTTGGCTGTCCTGGAACTCACTCTGTAGATAAGGCTGGCCTCTTGTCTTCTGAGTGCTGGAATTAAATGCAAGCAACACTAAACTCAAGTCAACCTGCTTTCTCGTAGAATCTAGGACTACCAGCTGAGAGGTGTCCTCCACCCACAATGTGCTGTGCCTTCTCTTATCAATCACTAATTAAGGAAATGTCATACAGGCCTGCTTACAACCCAATCTTACAGAGGCATTTTCTCCAGTGATGCCCCCTCCTTTCTGATGACTCTGGCTTATATCAATTTGGCGTAAAATTAACCATCCCAACCTTTTCATGGTTATTGTTTCTTTCTAAAAAAAGATTTACTTAGCCGGGCAGTGGTGGCGCACGCCTTTAATCCCAGCACTCGGAAGGCAAAGGCAGTCGGATCTCTGTGAGTTCAAGACCAGCCTGGTCTACAAGAGCTAGTTCCAGGACAGGCTCCAAAACCACAGAGAAACCCAATAAGTGCTGACCTTCGTGTATGTATATGTACTATATGGGTGCCTGGTGCCTGCAGAGGACTGAAGTGACATTGGATCCCCTGGAAATGGAGTTACAGATGGGAACTGATCTTCGGTCCTCTGCAAAAGAAGCCAGT